AATTCTGCTTCCGATACATTTATTCTTCAATTCTTCCTGCTCTTGTGCAAGTTAATTTAGATAGTTTTGGAATACTATTGACTCTTCACACGGCTTCCCTTTGGTTTCAGTATCAGAATTTACATTATACATGTGGAGACAAAAAGTCCTCTAAATGCATATTCAGGCTGGCAGTGATCTAATGTAACAGGTTAGATGTTACGATTTGCTCTGTTCAGGCAAAATCTTTCTTCTTTTAAATATGCTTACTGCTTTTTCTGTAGATATAAATGATACTTGCAGAAGGCACTGCATGATAGTTTAGGTTTTGTAGTAAAATTAATTCTTTAATCAAATCTTTGTCAGCCTAACTGTATCTCTGCTGTGAATTTGAAATGAGGAAACAATTTTGGTATTGGAGTTCATTCTGCTTTGTCTGTTTGCTTTATTGCTGCAGAGCTGGTATACCACATGTCCATTTTTTCCTAGGCTGTATTTGAACTCTCCTTCCTTTCAGATGCTTTGTAACCTAACTACCCTCAAATTAAGCACTTCATTTATTCCATGGGCAGCCCAGGCACAAGTGTGAAATCCCTTCAAACATTATGGCTCTAGCTTCTTTTATAGGGGACATTCCGTTTGGAGGAATAAGTTGTATTTACCTTTTGCATCTGCGTTTTATGAATTTTATATAAATGTTGTTTACAGTTAAAATGACACACGGTCTTTCTGTAGTGTCTTTGTTTTATTAAAGAAATTTAAAAAGAAAACCACTAAAACGATGTTACTACTGGGTATCTGATTGCCAAGTTAATCTCTTATCACAAGTCCCATTGATCTTCTGTTTGAGCAGCTGAGAGTCTATTTTATGTATAGCGATCTTTCATAAAGTTTATTCCTGGTAATAAAGCTAACTGGGGTGAGTGCCAAGCTATTCTCAGAGGCAGTGCTCTCTCTCAACAAGAGGAGGATTTTATTTTGTTAGATGGGCTTATTGTTTGGGTATGTACTTGTGGCAGAACTAGTGAAATTGCTAGGGAGTGAGTCAAACTAGGTTCAGAGGTGTACTCTTACTGGTATGAAGTTAATGGCATTGCTGCACAATAGACATTCAGATCTGGCTTTTAATATGATGCCCAGAGTCACGTGCATTTTCTACTTATTACAGTGTGGTATTACTAACTTGCATTGTTAATCTCTTCTGTGGTGTGGCAAAAACCTTAAAAAAAACCCTTTAAAAAAGACCCAAAAAATTCCCACCAGAAAACAAACAAACAAATCAACCAAAACCACACCAAAACCAACAATAACAAGAAAAACCAACTAAAAAAAAAACCATCCCAAAAACAAAACACAAAACCCCCAGAACCCTCCACCCTAGCATTTTGTATGTGTTAGTTGTATTCAATTTCTTATGTGTAAGAGGAAGAAATTTTAGTTCACATAGCACACCAGTACTGGTTTCTCTGAAATTGTTTGGTTTCAGATTTTTGAAATCTTTCTTGTGATAATATTTATGTTGATGTACTTAGTGTCTTCATACCAGATGTATCTGTATATTAAAAAATGTAATTCAAAATATTAGTAGTTAACCTTCAGAATAATTACTTTATGAAAATCAAATTTTATTTTTAGCAAAATTCACTTGAGCTTTATTCCAGTGTTTCTGAAATATTACTGTGTATTCAGGAAAGTTTAATAGATGGCAGCTAATAATTTGTTAATACTCGTGAAAATAGCCATCTCACTGCTACGGACAGTAGTCTGTATAAATTCCTATTGCCTTATGGCAGTTTTGGGAATTGGTGGTTTTGGAAATATCTGTGCAAATACTTGACATTGCAAGGACAGGTTATGATCTTGATCTGTTACTCTGCTCTTGTCTGGAAGCTAAACTCATGGAGCTGGCACCTGCCTTCTAGAAAACCAGTCTCAAGCCATCTCACCTCAACCTGTTGTTGCAGTAAATTTGAAATTACTGGCCAATCTTCTCTTTGGTCTTCTCCTGCCCTTGTGACCTGGATATACAGGAGCGCTAACAATTCCTTATGGATGCAAGGAGTAAGCACAGACACAGGTGGCAACAGAAGTGTATGGATGTGCAAATATTGCACGAGGCCCTTGGGATGGTGAGGGAATGGGGCAGGATTTGCACTCCAGATATTGAAATACCAAGTTAAGGAAGTTGATGGGATGCTGGGAATTCAGTAGGAGAGAGTAGAGCACTGGGGTGCACTGTTTATTTGCTGTGAGCTAGCCTGCTGGATGGAATAAGTGTGCAAATCTAGTAACATTTTTCTCCTGTCATGCTCAAAGCGGGTACTGATGTCCCAGAACTATCTGAACTAGCTCTCATTGAAGTCAGGAGGATAGGTCAGTGCTCAAGCTGCTTTGCAGATTCAGTCAGCCTACCTGTACCCATTGCTTTTTACCCTTTCAAAGAGATGTCTTTACCATCAGTCATAAAATTTAAACCTTCCTTTTAAATTTTTCCTTGATATCAAGAGAAAAGTACACCAAAAAAAAAAATCTATAACACACTTTTACCATGGAGTAACACATAACTCTGCGAAGAGAAAGGATAAATTATTATATATATATAAACACACTGGAGAGAAAGGGAGGCACTGTTTCAGCTAATATGAAGTATTTGTAATCACAGTGGGAACTAACTACTTTTCCTATTTTCCTGCCCATTTGAACTTGGTGATTGATTTTCCAGTAATTGGCAACCAACTGCAAATGATGGGTAGTCTGCATCGTTGCCGTGCGTGTCCTGTGGTGATCTGGATGGTGGCTCAGTGTCTAGATCTTAGCATGCTAAAGCAGCAGTTTAGTTTTTGCCTGGTTGTTGTACTATTGGAACCACTGATACCACTTGGTAATCAGGATATGTTGCTGAGCATTAAAGTGTACAAATTTGTAATTGCAGCTAGTGATGGCCTTGCGTTGTGGCTGCTTTGAGCTGAAAAATGTGAATCTGTAATTTAACCATCAAATAAAAACCTGTATTTTAATCTATTTAGAGAGTCATGTGAGAAAACTTTGCATTATTTCTTTAAAAACCTATTCTGATCGGAAGCATTGTTCTAAAGTCAGACTTGAGGGGTTTATCTTAGTAGTTTTTTTTTTTGTAACCAGGTTAATTATTTTAATATGGAACTTTTAATGTTGGATTTAATACTCAATACTAGTCTATATGGTTTTGGTTTTTTTAATATTAAATCTGTATTTCCTCTAACTAAAAAAAATATTTATTGTGTGAATACCTTGCACAGAAATTTGAAATTTGTTAAATGCTTGAGCTAAGTAGAAATACTTCTATTATATAAGTGACAAAGTTGCACTTTCACTGGAGTAGTTTAAATTGTGGTGCTGGTTTTCACTGGCTAAATGCTTTTTTGGTGTTATGTGCTGTTTGACAGAGCTGACTGTAAATGAGAAATAGTCCACTTGAAATAAATAATTTCTTTAAAATAGGAAAGCTTTTTCTTAGCAACTGATGAGCAATATGCTGATCTGCTGTGCTTATGCAGCTTTATAGCGTAGTGAAAGAGAACCTGTGTATTATCACAAAGCCACTATGTTTGATCTGTCTGGAACTTACTTAGCAAGTAAGAATGTTAATTTAGTGTTTACTGACTAAGATAACTAGTTGTCTGGGGGGTGGTCAAGGTACTGACTTCAGAGGCATTTCTGAACAAAGATGTTGCAGTTGGTGGGTGGATGGCACTGGTCTCAGCTGTTGTATGAGCTTGCATAAATAGTATCATCTCCACTTTAATCTTTCGGGTGTTCAGAGGTAGTGTGCATATTTCTGTTTAACCCCTGGACACTTGCTGGCATGCATGACCCTTTAACAATTCCTATCCCTCTGTCCATCCCTGGCACCTTGGCTCCGAACAGTCTGGGAGGATAGCCAGTAATTTTGGAAGTTTTGTAAAGATCATCTCTTTAACAAAAAGTCTTTTCATTTCAGCAGTATACACTTTCTATTGTGCTTGTTACAGCAGTGTATGGCACAAGTCTAAAGTACTACTTGCATCTCTACTGTGCAGTACTTGCTCCTCTTTGTGTGCAAAGATCAGTTAAAAGATATTAAAACTGGTGATGATGGTTTCTGGACTTTGGCATCAAGAAAAAGAGCTTTTTTTATATATTTCAGAAAACAGCAACAAAGGCTGGAGCGATGTATTTCATACAGAAAGTTGGCTTTTAAGTAGTGTTTTAGATAAGCATTTCATTTACCGTATCTTAAATTTTGATAATGAAAAAGATACTTGAAACCTTTAGTCTTCATGAATCTGTCTCTCTAAATTTAACATGCCTTTTTCTCACCAATTTTTATATCACTTCAGAGCCATAACTGTAACAGAGTAGTTTTAAGGGTTATTTCTGAGGCTTGTGAGTGTGGTGCTTTGGAGGGCGGTATCCAAGGCGTTTCAAGTGTTGGAGCTTTCTGTGAATTCCTCTCCTGTTTTTTTTATGGGGAGAGAGGGAGAAGATGTAGTAGACAGTGTTGTTGTTTTTGACAAACTTGTATCATTTTTGGTGCTATAAAGTTAATCATGATCAAATACCAACATGGTAAGTGTAGCAAATTCAAGGAAGGGCTAATACAAACTTCAGGGTGACCTGAACCATTACATCAATAAAAATTAGTGGACAGTGAATCTTTCCTGAAACTAATATCTGTAAAGGCCTGTGGACAGGGAGACAAAGTAAATGGCAAGGCTGGGAAATGGTTTGCAATAAGTTGGTTTCATTTGTAATGATGATCACACAGATGCCAGCTTTTATATTGCTCAAATTTCTTTTTTAAGGATGGAGCCCTGATGATTCCAGAAATGGCTCATCCAAGGATCTATTTTCCCGAAAGTTTGACTTATTCTAGTTTGTGTTAGAAGAAACTGAAGTAGTAGCTATATTAAAATGCTAATAGAAAAATGAAGGACACTGTAGGTTCTATTGCCATATTGGAAATCTTTTAGTTATATTATTCCCCCTTATGTTTTTTATAGCAAACTTTGGCCTGTTCCATTCTAACGGCGTTGTTGAGCGAGTTCTCAAGTTCAAGTAAAACCAGCAACATTGGACTAAGCATGGAGTTCCATGGTAACTGTAAACGTATATTTCAGGTAAACTAGTTCTGTATTGATATATGTTACCTCTCTACCTCTTTCTAAAACTGAAACGTGGAAGCAAAAGTACTTTGTTGTGCCAGGTGCAGTCAGGTACACTGTATGCCTAAAAGCATTTGATAGGGCAAATACTGCAAATGCAGATACTGGGTACTTCAGGAAAATTGATAATGCATTTTTTAAAAACTTGTATCAAAAAGGTGCAACCCTTTTGTGCCCATTTTATGAATGTAGAGCTACTGATCTTTATGCTGTTGGACTCTAATTCCTTGGCTACCAATTGCAAACAAAATGAATACTCTGTGGAACAATGATAGTCTTAAATATAGCTTTGGTTTAAAGCCAAGGAGAGCTATGTATGTATTTAAAAATATTATTGCAGATGGTGTAGTCTGGTTGTCTCAGATGTATTGTTTGGCCAGTCAGAAATGTTTAAGTGAAGGCATTGCTTTAAACTGTTGTGGAACAACTTACCAACTTTTTTTCATGCCAAAGACCAGCTCTCTTCTCCACCACTTAATAAAAACATATTGGTTTTTTATCTTTTAACAACTGTATTTATGTGAGGATTTTTTTATAGTTTTTGCAAACAGAATTAATTTTGACAAAAGGGGGGATGCTCACTGGTAATTTTGGAGTAGTTCCTGTATTTTAATGAAAATAGGGTGAAACTGGAAGTTTTTATTCTCTGGAAAAGTATTTCTTGTTGATCAGCATTTCACTAATGAGCGAGATACTGAATGTGTTGTGTTCATCCTGACTGCAGGAGGATGACCTGCGGCAGATCTTCATGCTCACAGTAGAGGTACTTCAGGAATTCAGCAGACGTGAAAACCTCAATGCTCAGATGTCTTCAGTGTTTCAGCGTTATCTTGCACTAGCCAATCAGGTCTTAAGCTGGAACTTCCTTCCTCCAAATTATATCCTTTTCATGACAGGCCCTTTGTTTCCCTTGACTTGGGTCACTTCTTAGGTGAGGAGTAAAGTTTTTGCAAGGAGAGTAAAACATAGAACCATTGTGTTTATTTCTTGATTTATGTTTTCTTCCATTAGTGCTTTTTGTCTCCACCATGCTTACTAAGAGATGTTTACATACAGAAGCTTCTGTTGGTTTTCATTAAAGCTTAAAAGTATTTTACATAAAAGAGAAAGTATACAGAGTACCCACCTTTTACAGGTTTATGGTCTGTCTGGTTTGTGCAGGGAACAGGAAATGTGCAATATGCTACTTCAGTGTAGAACTATATGGTGAAGAGTCTAAGCCCTGTTCAATTTTTATGCAGAGATCTGATCTGTCCCACTTTTCTTCCTTAGAGAAGAGGTAGGGACAGGCAGATGCCCCATCATGCAGGAATATGCATGTTCATGCAGGTGAACCAACTCCCCATAAAAGAACATGGTATATCTTCAGCCTGAAAGAAAGTATTTGGTACTCGGGAAAAGAAATGTCAACCTTTTACACAGGTGCCACTTCTTCCATTTTGATATTTTTGTGATGTCTACTGTTCATTAGTCCAGAGAAAGGAGGAGTTGGAAAATAGAGGAGAAAATGGGAATAAGAAAGAGAAAGGCTCTTAGCAAAGGAGAGAAGAAAAAAAAAGATATAAAAATGCTCAATCCAAAAAATGAGCTAGACAAATATTGTAGAAATACTCAATCACACTCTGTATTTAATAGAGGTTTTAGATAGTACATGTAGTAAATCAATATCACACCTGTATTAATAGCCAGACTACCTTTGAGAAGCTCAGTAAACTTTTAAGCTGGGTTATAAACTTTTTTCTTAAAACTTCTGAAATTCCTACCAAGTTATACATACTGCAGGAATCTTGATGTTGCTCTTAAATCTACTGTGAAGGATTTTATTTGCTTTTCTGGTGTGGCAGTCAGAAGGTGATACCTGTGTGTTTTTGTTTTCTTTTAGTCTGTTCATTGTGCAGCAGGCAGCAAATTTATTGGAAACTGGATATTCCTTGGTTCACATCTGTAAAACAGAATGCCAGTTATATTGGCTTTGAGAAAGGTTCCATGGATTAAAAGTAAATAACCTGCTTCTATTCATCCCTGAAGTGATTTGGTAGGGGTTCAGAGAGGAATTTAGTGCATGTGCCTATAAAATGGAGACTGTAGTCAAATTATTCCACCTTATAAAAGTCTTTGGAAGTGGACTTGAGATTTCAAATAGAAATGAAATGCTCTTGTATTGTGCAGTGGTGGTTCCCTCTGAATTTTAGAATGGCTCTGCACAAACTATGTAGTCCTATGTACAGAATCATAGAATTATAGGAAGTTGGAAGGGACCTTAAAAATCACCCATTTCCAACCCCCCTGCTATGGGCAGGGACACCTTCCACTAGACCAGGCTGCTCAGAGCCCCATTGAACCTGGCCTTGAACACTTCCAGGGTTGGGGCATCCACAGCTTCTCTGAATTTCCTCTCAGTTTGTGCCCATTATTTATTCCTTGTCCATCACTGCAGATCCTGACAAAGAATCCCTCTACAGCTTCCCTGTAGGCCCCTTTCAGACACTGGAAGGTTGCTACGAGATCTTCACACAACCTTCTCTTCTGCAGGCTCCAGCAGAATAGCCCCAGCTTTCTCAGACTGTCTTCATAGGGCAGGTGCTCCAGTCTCCTATCAACTACATGGCCTCCTCTGGACTTTCCATCAATTCCATGTCCTTCTTATGTTGGGGACACCAGAACTGTAGTCAGTATTCCAGGTGGGGTGTCAGAGGAGCAGAGTAGAGCAAGAAGTTTCCTCCTTCAACCTTTTGATGCAGCCCAGGATGCAGTTGTCTTTCTGGACTGTAAGTGCACATTGTTGGCTCATGTTTAGTTTTTCATCAACTGTCACTCCTAGCTCCTTCTCTGCAGTGCTGCTTTAAATCACTTCTAACCTGTTGGTGTGTCTGGGATTTTGGTATAATTCAAAAGTGAAGGCTGTAGTTCTTCATGAGCTCTTTGTCCTTGGCTAAAGTTTGCACTGGTGGAGCCAGATAGAGAGGTAGATGTCCGCAACATGTGGAGCCTTGGAATTCCAGCTTTCCTTTATACATCTGTATAATATTAAGTGATTTAAGTGCTAGTAAATAAATGTTACTAGAAATACCAAAGCAAGCCATACTACTGCTAAGATTAATCATATTTTCTGCTATTTAACCTACTTTAGATACTACATCTCTTAAACAAGTTCTGGCCATTTCTGGAGATCGGATGGACCAAAGTGCTCTTAATGGATCAATTTCAAATATTTTTGTAATTTCTCATCCACCTGATACCATATTTTTATTTTCTACCATTGGATGCTTCACTTTGCTGAAAGAATTACAGCACCAGCTTGGGTTGTCTTTATTTATGTATCAACCTGTGTTCACAGAAGTTGGAATATCATCAGTCATCCTTGAGAAAAATTAGTCTTAGCTGCTAAATATTCAATAACTCTTGGGGTTTACAGTGCCATGCTGATTGTATTGTGGCATAAATCTGTTTTCCTTAAGATAACCTCTTTAACTGTTGGTTGTTAGCTCATGGGCAGTGAAACTTAGCTTGGCTGTAGTTTCTAAATGGATAGCACATTTTATAAGAATGTGAGAATTACTGTGTTGATTGATTGGTTAGAGTCCTTTTGGTGTCCTCTTTCCAAATCTCATTGATAGTACATATACTGCAGCAATGGGCATGAATTTAATACCTGAAGCATGGAGTAAAATGATCCATTGTATTCTTAGGTATATATTTTTTTCTTTAGTTGGTATTTCCCCTGGCAAGATAGTATTGATTCTCAGTATTCCCTGCAGCATCACAGTAATCTGCAGTAATTTTAATATTAATTACATCATAATTTATGTCATTTATGTAATATTTAGCAAGATTCTTGTCTCTTCAAAAAGGGGAAATAGCATAAATGTGCATCAGCTGTATGGTGGTTCTTGCAAAGTAGCATATTATTCAAATCTCCAGGCTGTAAGAATTGAATCAAAACTTACCACTTCTCAAGAGTTCTGTGCTATTACAGGACAACTTTATAAATGTTGCATTGTTAAATGTAGTTTTGGACAGTGTTGCCACCAATTGTAAGAAAAGTTGTGGTAAGTCTGCATTGTCTGTTGCTACCATGAAAAATGCATTCTGGAATACCCACCTCATTGAGCAACAAAGGAAGAAATTCTAACTAATTTCAAGTTGGAACTCAGTATTTTTTAATTATCTTGGGATGTAGTGCCTGCAGTAGGAAGGACAAGGCACAGTGACCTAGGAGGCCTCCCTTCAGTCATGTCCAGTTTCTCCTATTTCATTTTCCAGCAATCATCTATTGTTATTTTTATCTGCCACCTTGAGATATTAGTTTACCCGGTGTTTGTGGAGGCTTCAGAGATAGTATTTTGTGGCATGTTGGCTTCTGCACAGTTTCTTTTTTCAGTACTGTTACAGTATTGTTAAATATTATTTACTTGGATGGAACTAGTTTTAACTGCATCTTTTCTAAAATGAATGCTTCAACTAATTAAGGAAGTACTTAAGGATGATCAGTACTAAAAAGTACCACTGTCTCCTTTGCAAAAGTTCCTTCAAGAATCTGACTTTCAGTACATTGTGAGTACCCAAAGTCTCCAGTTAAGAAGCTGAGTGTTGTTGGGCTGTAATACACCTTGGCATGGACATAACACATCTTGTGAAGTCAGGATGTAATTATAATTTTTATAATTTTATTTCCAGAGATATTTCTCTTGTCAACTTTGGGATTTTTCTTTTCCTGGCAACCATATTCTAATGGACTTTGGCTGAATGTCCTCAAATGTAAAGGTTCTTGAACAGAACATAAGAACTGTGCGCAGCTGTCTCCCATCTACAGAAAGGTGTCTATTATGTGTCATTAGGAGCTGTCATGGAAGTACTTATCCCTTATTCAATGTATGGATTACAGTACATGAATAAAGAGATACTTGAGCTTTACTTCTTGTTTTAGATTTAGTGCCTGTACTTGCTTGGAGGCAAGCTGGCAAATTTTGAAGTGAATGTAAAATAGGGGATTTAAAATGCAGGTTATGTAGACCTAGTGGTTTGCACTCTACTGATACACATCATTGCTGTTCCATTGGAATTGTTGGTGCCATGGCAGTTGTATGAACTGAATGAAGCTTTTGTCTGATCTGAACATTTTTGTGTTCGTTGGCCACACACTTAATATCTCTGTTTTGAAAATGTCTTTTAAACCTCAAGCCAGAATGAGACACCTGTCTGGGAGGTTCTGTGAACCATATAGTTCTGCAGACTTCTAAGATTTGAACTCAGTCCAGCCCAGATTTGTAGCATCTGTTGTGCATAATGGAAGTGCATGAAAATGATACAGAAAACTCAAGGCTGATTTTGAGGAATGGTTCAAGTTGGCATTGCTGCTGAAAAAGCATCTTGCCATATCACATCCCATGAACATGATGCTCAGCAGGGAACCACCCGGCTAAAAATGTGGTGGGGCTTTTTTAGCAGATTTTGGCCCCTGGTTTGATTTGTTGCACAGCTACAGAAATTATTCTACCTGTACCAAGGAGTGACAACACTGATTTCTTCAGCAGCATGGCTGCTTTCCATAGGCCTTGTGTTTGTTAGCAGCCTGGAATTATCCTGAATTTACTGCAGCAGTCTGTTCTTATCTGAAAAATGAAGCATTGGGGCACTATCCTGTCTATTTTTTGTGATATAGAGCAAAATTCAACGTAACTAAAACAGCTGTATTTAAGAGAGCTGCATTTTACTTTTATCAGACCTTTATCACCTACCACTTCTAGGTGAAAACTAACCTGGCTTTGAAATCCCTGATGGTTAGAAATGATTTCTAGGACACTGTGTTTTCTTGTCAGTTCTTTCTAACAACTTTTTAAGACAACATTGGGAAAACCCAAGAAAATTGGAAGATCCCCTGAATTCTGTCATAATTGCACTAAACATATTTGTATTGATGTTGAACTTTTAAACAATCTTTCATCATTTCCGTTTTCCTAAATGAATTCTGTAATCAGTTCAATATAGGAACATCTTAACAGCATTAATATCAGAAGAGGAAAAGAGACCAGGAATGATCCTTTTTGGGGAGGGGAACCAATATTTTTCTTTCTTGCCCCAGTGGTTTTTAGGTTTCCAGTCTTGCAGCAATGGTTACAGCACCCTGGATGGCAGCTGATGTGTGGTGGAAAGGTATGACTCCTGAGCCACATCTGTGTGGCAGCCACGTGTGCGTGGGTGCTTTACGTGCTGTTAGGCTGGAAGTGATCAGCTTGTGTATCATAAGCTGCATAACTGTAGCAGCAGAATGTACCAAGAACTGCAGAATCCACATGGGTGGTCATGAGCCTTGGAACTGGCATGGCTCTGGAATTGGCCAGGTTTAAAATTAGCTTGGGTGTTCCTGCACTTCCTACTCCTGTTCCTGCAATCTGAGTCCAGTATCTCCAACACAAAGTATTGTTTCATTCTCGTGACTGTTAAGAATACTTGTGTTTAATAGTATTTAAGCATATGCTCATTGTCCTGGTTGCTGGATGTACTTGCCAAGAGTGTATGGTATGGAAAGGTCTGTGTAGGATTTCTCCATAGGGGGCAGCAAGCCTCTGCAGCAATTTTAGGCAGTTGCTCCTTAGACTTATTCCATGTGCTTGGCTCATTAGCTAGAAAGCTAGAGGAGGTCTTAAAAATCCAGATAAAAACAGTATTTGACATAACACTGGAGGGCAGGTACCTTTCTAATGCAGTTTATTTTTAAAATGTAAGTCTATGACAGGCAGAAAGTCGAGAAATATTTCAAACAACAAAAGTAAAGATTAAAATTACTTTTAAGAAAGATATTCAGACCTTAACACTCCAGGAGTTTTCCCTCCTTTTCTGAAATGTTTCACTTCTGTGCACAAACTTATGAATGGGGTTCTAGTAGAAGAAATCCCAGCTTTGTTTTTTGAATTCCAAACTTACTGTTTTGTGGAAGAACAAGCCTTCCCTCTCTTGGCAAAAAGATTGTGGCATTCATTCTCAGATACTGGAATTGGTTGAAGTACTGAAATAAAATATTATAATCCCTCATGACTACCTTAGGATATTAAATATTTTAATATTCATCTTCACCTATCAGTCCCTTCCTGGGACAGAGGCTAGTGAGTGAGAGGAAAACATTTGTTGGTTTTTTTTTTATTGTTTTCTTGTTCCTCCAAGAAGCACATAAAACCTCAAACTATTTTGCTTCTAAATTAGTTTTGAAATAAAAGAATTATAACCTTGAAAAAACTACTGTTATTTTTCCATCTCATGAAACAGAACCAAGCATAGAGCTAATGTCTACATGCATAAATTTAGTCAAATATAAAAGAAAATATCTTTTAACATTATGGTTTTCTAGTCTTCCTCTCTAGTAATAATCACCATAAGGACCTTATCTTACACTAAGCCATCTGATTATGTTTATATGATCTTTAATAGAGTTCAGTTCACATCACTGAATAATCTGATTCATGCAGAAGATTCCAGTCTCTGAAGGAATCAGTGTCCTAAGCCTTGAAAAATGTGTGAAACATTGACATGCTTCTGGTAGCTGTTTGTTAGCCTGGATTTCCATCTAATTCAAGGTGAATTTTATTAAAAGTTTATCATTCCTCAATAGACCCGGGAATGTTAGAAATATTTGTATTATTACCAGAAGTGATTTACAGTTGTTTTTCATTCTGGAAACAAAAAAATCTCTCCAGGATGTCATAGTGGACTAATCTATCATTTATCTATGTTGTAAGTTTAAATCATAAGCTTGAGTGCTTAGAAAAAGTGTTTTGCTCATTCTGTACTTTTTGGTTTTTTGTAAGTCTTGACAAGTAAGTTAATTTTGGGTGATGAAGAGTTCATTTGTCCTGTGTGCACCCATGTATGAGGTAATTTGGTGTCATTTTTTTCAGGTTTGGCATAACTAGACTGCTGCTACTAAGACCAAACTGTAGCACAATGTAAGCTGGAGTACTTGTGGCAGTAAGCATCTCCACAGCCAGTTTCTGCTAATGCTTGCATACATGTGTACATGCTGGAAAATGGCTGCAAGATCTCCATGATAGGTGGAGTCATAATTTGTAATGTTCAGTGAACAGATATTTTACCTACAAATCTCCTATTGTCAGATGTGTCACCAGTCCATTAGTGTGAGAAACAAGACTAAAAATAACAGGATAAGGCTTCTAAATATTGAGTCTTGTTAAAATAGTGACAGCAAACTAGTGCTTTTTTCATGCCATGTGAAAAGCATTTTGTAGCTGGTCCCCTCTGTAGACTCAACCTTAGCAAAGAGTAAATTTATCACAGATTGGTGTTTATAATTGTCTTCTGATAAAACATTCTTGCCAATAGCTTATTGGAGAGTCACAGCAAAGGACATAAGGACATTCTTGTCAGTAAGCAATTATTTTAAAATACCATTTTGACGAAGACATTCTAAATGGGAAGGAAAAAAGGCATTGCTTAATTTGTCAGATAAAATTAGTTTTTAATTTAGAATATTACTCCTGATAAAGGATCCTTGCATGTGATAATTTCATGCATGTATAATTTTTATTTTTTTTTTTTCTGGGTAGAACCATCTTTGATTAATTAAACTACATCATTTTTTCAGATAGAATCAAAGTAGAAAATTCTGTGACTTTTAGTTTTTTGCCATCTGAAATAATGCAGATCTGGTTAGTTCAGCATACATTGAAAATGTTGAAACTGCTTTTTAATATAATCTTGAAAATTGTGAAACTGCTTTTATTTTGCACTAACGTGAAAACCCCTGATTGTTCTTACATGCTGACAGCAGTCCTGGGCACATACAACAAGTGTAGGTCCACTTGGTACTGGACTGTGAAAAAAGTCCCTTTTTTTAGAGTGTGGTTTTGCAGTGTCATTAGGAATTTTGTTTTGTGGCAGAACTCAGAAGACAAGTATAAATAAACTGAAATTGTGTATCCTGCTTTGTGACACAATTTTTCATATTAGACTACTTGCTTGCTTTAAATACTGCTCACTTAAACAAAACCCATCAAAAGTTAAGGAGTCTACTGTTTTGAAGATGCCATTGCCAAATTTATTTCATTCTAGACATAGAAATAGTTTCTTATAGGCATTTTATAGTACCAGATTACTTACACTACAAAAGGTAACGTTCATCAAGTAAATTATGTGCAGCTGAATATGCTGCTACCTACTCTGACGGTTGGGTTAGAAAGGGATCAAAGAGGATAATGTAGGGTTTAAGAAATACAAATAAAACATTAGTAAAACTGCTTTAACTTAGCAAGTACTACTTGAAATGGATGGTGTCAAAGAGAATTACTTCAAAAATTTTTTTGATTAAAACTGTTGTCTGATCAGACTGACAGAGAATTGAACCTGTTTGTTTAATTGTGTTTGCTCATGTCTCTGTTTTTTCTGTACTAGAATATTTGCAGAATTTTGTAAATTAAGTTATGCCAAAATATATGGTGAGAGCTGAAATAGGTGCAGCAAAGTTGTGTCTTTACAGCATGCACATTTTTCATGAGCGTCTCTTACAAACATGTTGAATGTGACAATGCCTTGTGCTGACTTGTGCTTTTGTTCTTCTCAGAGTGATTAGAAAATGTAGATTAATAGAGGGCTAACATATCTGCATTCTGTGACACATATCTGGCTAGTTAGAAAAATAGGATATAGATTTCAATGAGCTATCTTTAGCTATGGTAAGGCCTTTTTAAAAGCTGCCAGGAAAATTTTTTAGAAAATTATTTCCTATTTTGCATAAATTTTAACACCTGTTAATTGCGGTTGCTTTTTTCCCTTCTCGCTGTGTCACATTAGACACCCTGGTTATCAAAGTGATCGTATCGCTATGGTATGTCTCATAATTATGATCAAACTGTTATCTAACATTCCTGGAGCATTCTTTTTTTCAATACTTAATACCTTTTATTCCTTGGCCTCATGCATGAATTATGCTGTGTATGTGAAGAGGCTTAAAGTTTGTTTCCATTACATTCTTTCTGAATGGATCCTGTTGTATCTAGGATTTTTTTAAAGCCAAGTAGGAATGTTATTGTTGACCTTGACACCAGATAACTGGGCAGACATTATATAGCTATGTTTGAATCCTCACAAAATGTGATGCTAAAGCCAACAGAATCCTGGCGCGAGACCCTCCTGGACAGCAGAGTTATGGAGCTTTTCTTTACAGTAAGTTTCTTTCTTCAACTTTCATAGTCCAGACCACAGGGAAAGCAGCTCCTTCCTGTTCTAAAACTGTGTTGTCGGACTCTTCCTTTTGCATCAGGTAGGAATGATTCTGTTCACTTCAGCTTGCTTATCTAAACAAAGAGAAGTATTGTCTTTTTCCAAAGGTACTGAATTTGTATTTTGCTTATTAATTGCTTTAAATTGGTGACGACTAGTGACAGAAAAAAGTTTATAGTTATCTCAATACGTTTTATACATTTAATACTTCTGGACATGTACTCATCAGACAAAAGCAAGCACGATGAACAGTGGTAGAGTAGTGAATCTTTCAGATAAGGTGTAACAGCTCTCAGAAAATATCAAATGTGTAGTGTGTGTTTGCTGATATTAAAGCATATGCTCAACAGAACAGCTGAAAATAAGTGATGTAGTTTTCTAGCTACTTGCAGCATACAGAATTATACATCTCTTTCCTCAGCACAAAGGAAATCAACAAAAGTTAAAGTAGAAGAAGTTAGAATAAGGAAGAGGTAGTGTTGGGAGAGGGGAATGTAGTACTCAGTTCTATAACTTAAAAGCCCCACAATGTTAAAAATTGATAGAATTGCGTTGTTCTGTTTTTACAACTGTTGGGAGAAGTTTGTAATCATCGCTCAGCTAGGACTTACTGCAGCAGCAACATATATTGGCTTATAAATTCATTTGCTATGCAGTTTGACTTAGGTTACATCTCTTGGGATCTGAGAATTCAACATTCTCAGGCTTTTTTTCATTTTTGCAAAACAGAGAAATGTGCTCAAAGCTTGGACAAAGTTGTTATAAGACAATGTAAATGTAACTCTGCAGTGCTGCTTGACAGTATGTGTTTGGATGTATGTCCTTACTTGATAGGATTTTTGAAAAATTATTTTTTTTTTTACTGCAAGTTTATCCAGCAGTTTTGAAAAGGTGAAAAAAAACACTGGCAGAACTCTCACCAGCTACACACAATCTGAACAGCTGTCTAGACTATCCAGACAGTTGCTACTGTCAGCTGTGAACCTCTACATGCAAATAACTTTTTGGCTTACATGTTAACCCTTCTTCTATGTTTAATAGTATGAAGTTGTCAGAGTTTGAGTTGCATATCTGTTTCCTTGATTGCTTTACAATTACTTATTTGTGATTGAAAGAAAATTTAATAATATGCAGATTTGCTTTAATACATTTACATTTTACTTAATAGTAACCAAGGCTTGCCTGTATTTTAGTATTTTTGAATAAATGCTAGCCAGGGCAGTATGCTGTCAGTTCTGGTTTTAGATTCCTGATTTGCAGTGGTTGAGACTTGCAGTAGTAGTTTGCTCTTTGAGGTAATGTAAGTAAATTGTAGTAATTTTTATTCATTTTTCTGATCTGAGAAATTTTAATAACCTTGCAAAAGTTGGCAGGATTGCTGTATTAGAGTGAGAGCCTTCATTTCTAATCTCAGCCTTGTGTGGGACATATATTAGGAAGGGGTATTTCTGTTGCAGGGTTTATTTCTCCTACTAGTTTGATCTTTCAGGGATTAACTGTGCAGCTAAATCAACTAGTTATGAGTTGGGTTAACTTGTAACTATAACACCACAGAGAAGTGGTTAGTGTTTTAAGAGTACTTTTTGGTATAATATTAGTGAAATAATTTAGCTAAATTTCATTTCTGTGTGAAAAAGCTACTCTATATTTGTTATTTATTCAGTAAATATTCTGTGAATAAATAGGCATGAGCCTAAAAAAATTCTTTAAATCCATACTTGACTGATTAAAATAAGTATGTAAGAATATGTTTACTGAAGTAGTAAGATTCAAATCTAGAAAGTCTCAACAACAGAAATAATGACATAACAGTTTGCACAAATGCAGGAAGATTACTGTTGGCCTTGTATAATATAAGGGTGTTTCCAAGGAAGTGATGCGTTCATTTTTGTATATGTCTTCAGTGTTTACCTCTGCTAAAGAAGCATCTATATAATCTTGATTGAACTTGTTGACTAACTTTAGCAAGACTCTATAGCCTAGGCATAGTTAGCATAATAGAGATGACTGTCATTATTGCTGTTTTTAGAAGGAGCAGCATGTCTGACTGGCTGGCATCTGTTTCTCTCTTTAAGACATAACATTCAATAGACAGTTCAATTTTCAACATGTAGGTGAGCCTTAACTAAATGTTAGTTTGAATGAGTTAATTCAAGGCTTGAGATTGTGTGAGCTGAGTCACGATCTTGATGTTTGCCATGGTTTAGAGAGTTGCAGAAACCCTTGTATTTCAGACCGAGTGGAAGTTATAGTAAGCTTTTTTTGGTGTGTGCTCTTTTGGATTGAGAGCCATGTGACTGTTGTAAGAACACCCTGTTTTCATGTATTATTAACTACCTCACTTCCTGAAAGGTACATCGAAAAATCAGAGAAGATACAGATATGGCCCAAGATTCATTACAGTGCCTGGCACAGCTGGCATCTTTGCACGGGCCGGTCTTTCCTGATGAAGGTTCACAAGTTGATTACCTGGCACACTTCATTGAGGGATTACTAAATACTATCAATGGGTATGTATGTCTGCTGTCTAAATTTAGTTGGCATCTTTTAATCTTTAGTTTGGACTGTAGCATATCTGTGTGGAGAAGTGGTATGGCTTGCTTATTTCTGGATGTAATTTGTGCTTACTGTTGGATTGCTTAAATTGAGAAAGGGCAGATTAAAGTAGGTGGTGCTTGTTATGAAATAGATTTATTGAAAATGTATCACCAAAACCAATTCCCTTTTAGCAATTTTCTTAATGGCAAAAAACTGCTATTTCTATCTATAGAATCGAAATAGAAGACTCTGAAGCAGTGGGAATTTCCAGTATTATCAGCAATCTGATAACTGTATTTCCTCGCAATATTTTAACGGCCATTCCAAATGAACTTTTCTCTTCATTTGTTAACTGCCTCGCACACCTCACCTGTTCTTTTGGAAGAAGTGCTGCCTTGGAAGAAGTGGTAAGTAGCTGCTCTAAAAAAAGTGGGTAGCCTTTTTCACTTCTGGTTCTGGTAAACATAAGTGACATGAGAATTGGCTATTTTGTTAACCACTGAATTTACAACCGTTATTTTGTCCTGAATATTTCTATATTTCTGAAATCAGATACGAGAGGATTTTCTTTTTATTTCATGCAATGTAATGAACATAAGTACACAGTGTGCATCTTTCAGACTTCCTTTGATTTAAAGTCCATCTTAATTTTTTAAGTGAACTGATTAATTTAAAATATTAAAGTCTAAAAGTATTGCTGACTTGCTGTTGTAGATAATGAACAAGCTGCTGTCTTGAACGTATGGACAGACTGAAACTTAACTGCTGTCTAGAGTTCTGAGTCAGGAGTTTGAGTGTAGCCGTTGAGATGTTGTTAACATCATGTATCTAAGCTGTTCAGATCATTCCTTCATTGCTGACACAGTTCAAATGGTAATTGTGCATACAAATCTAGCACAGGAATTAAGAGGATTCTTTTCTTTCAAACTTTGGTTGTAACATTAAAGGGCACTTGGCATCACCCAAGTGTTCTACACCAAAAAGTTGCATTAAAAATAAAAACTACCAAGGACACATAGTTTAAGGAAAATAATGTAAGAATTAAGGTGAGTAATCTTGCACTTCAGCTATTTATGTGCAGTGGCTATAGGTTTAAAATTAAACTATCAAGATACTGACTAAGACTTCCCCACTATCATGAGAAAGGATGATTTTCTTTGTTTTGACAGTTTGGTGCAGTGACAGAGTGAGTTTGAAAATAATTATAAAATAAAAGTTCATGAATGTGTTTCTTCACCAGAGAGCACAGCTGTATTAATTAGCCTTCATTGCAGAACATTAGATCATGTCTTTGCTGCAAAGTTAAAATGTATTATATTTGGCCCAGTGCTCACTTACTTTTTTCTTTTTTTTTCATGTCTTAATCAAAAAATTGATGGTTAAATTTAGAATCTAAAGTAGAGCTCCTTTGCAAACTTCACTGGTCAAAATTTGTGTACTTTTAAGATTTTCTAGTAGAATATTGAATACTTATTCTGTTGTTCACCAGTACATTTAGAAATGCTCCTGAAGCCTTTATAAGATTCATCCATAGATAGCTATCATTTTAATTCAAAGGAACTGAAGGGATGTTGTTTCCTCAGTTAGCACCTTGTTACTTGAGAACTAGAATACGCAATCATGTTTAATGAAAATAGTGCTCAACATGATGCCATTTAAAACAATCTCAGCAGGAGCTTGCACTAGCTTGTACTACTGTCTGGTGCAATGATACCTTTTTTTTTGCATCCCTGAAAACAATCTTTTGGCTTAGGCATGTCCTGGCCATGGCTAATGTGTTCCCTAAGTTTCTTTTCGAATGCATGTGGTGATACTTTCTGTCAGCTCATGTGCTGTCTGTAGTTAAGAGCTTTCTGACAGATAAAGTACTTGTTGGGCTCAGTAGAATCTTCAGATAATATTCCTGGAATTTTTCAGAAATAAGAAATACGAGAGAATGTAAGCAAGTGTACTTCTTAGGCTTTGCTGATTGGTAAAACTGTTTTCCTCATATTTCTAATATGTCATATGCCAGCAGAACATACCATGTGAACATGGCAGAAACCCCATAAAGTACAAGCAATATACTTAGAGGAAGACCTGCTGTGAAAACTGTCAAAATATGGAGATCCTGAATCAAAATCTGCAAGCTACTTCAAAGCATCTAATACTGATTTTCAACCACAGAGAAAACGCCACAATCCAAGCATCATGTTTGAATGCTTGTTTCACATGTTTGTATAATTGTTTCACATTAACCTGCTAGTTTGAACTGGGGAGATTGGCTGAAGGAAGGTGAAACATTTACCTGAACCAGCTACACTGGTGGAGAGAAGGCAGTAAGCTGCAGCAGTACTGAGGGTTAGTTTATGGGGCAAGGAGGACCAGTAATCTCTTCCTTCAATGGCACTGGGTGTGAGAGAGGATGCTCATCCACAGCTATGCTCTGCCTTGCTCAACACTTAATGCTTATGCAGAAGTAGAGTCAAATAGTCCACCTGAATTAGTGAAGAGTATGAACAGGATGTTGGATGAAAACTCCAATAAAAATTACATTAAAGGCTTATTTTTCTCCAAACAAATATTAATGTATTGTTCCTGTTTAATTTTATTTTTTCAAATATCATGTGATAGCAGAGATCATTCTGAATTTGGTCCCCTCTGCTGTACTTTAACTCTTTGCAGCTTGTTGCTGCTTGACAAACTTCTGAAGTGTTCCCTTCTTCAAAGGGTCAGCAAACTAGGAAAGAGGAAGGACTGAATTTCTTTTTGTTTCACGGAGAGGAAATTAAGAAGAATTGAGTATCTTTGCTTTACATTTACTGGGTTTGTCTTGCTTCTCCTGAAGATCTGAATTTTGATCCATCAGAATGATTCTGCTCCCAGTCTGCAACATGGCATCTTTGGTAGCCATAGTAGTAGATAATCTGAAACAAGAATTGGGATATTTTAGTAAGGTTTCTTTGGGACCAGATTGGTTCAAGATGGATAAAATCTTTCTACTGTTTGGGCATTTATTTTATGGAGGTACTTATTAGTCCTAGATTTGTTATGAGAATATCTCTAAGTATTGAAATAATTTTTCTTCATGGCATTAACTTTTTTATTACCTTTTCAAATAAATGAATTGGCCATACTTGAAGGTATTTGGTTCTTCATAAAAACATGTCTGTTTATTTGTTTATGCTCTATTAAAAATTTAAAATCATATATATAAGTTATAGATGTAAATATATTATATACATGTCAAAATACTTCAGGACTGAATGACTGCCAATAAATTCATGTGTCTTTAGCTAAGTTTTAAAAAGACACATTTTGGTGTCCTTCCTAAATTTATGACTTTTGTTAGTGTTGAATACAATTTTGCCTCTCTCCTTGTTACCTTCAGGTTTTGTTTTCACAATTGCGTCAGTATGTCACATATTTTAACTTCTGGAAATATGACAACTTTGCAGTTACAAAAGGATGCTGTGAAGCTATCTTGGAATGCTTCCAATGTGATATCAGTTTTTCCTCTTAATCAGTCATCCAGATAGTGTTTTCTTTCCCTTGCCTGTTTATCCAGCCATGTTTGTATCTTCACTGGAAGTCAGGAATTCTTGTGTCTGGAGCATGATTAAGACCTTAATATCTCTTTATTTCATAATTGAACCATTTTACTAGCCTTTGCTATCTCAGGGTAACTTCTGTGAGCCATCCTGTTGGCTAAAACTTGAGAAGACAACATCTTTAGTAGGATATTTATCTGTACAGTCACACTGAAGTTTTTGGAAGTAGGATGTATTTACAAAAATTCAATTTTTGCATCAAAACAAAAAGTCAAGAGTTACATTAAAAATACTTCTAAAAAGAAATGGCCACATTGCTTTTTGGATTTTTTAGTTTGCCTGCAACTCTAGACTTTGTTTTTCAGAGGAGTTATATCCTTTGGCAACTTATGTACTATGTAAAAGCACATGAAAAATTAAAAAGAAGAAGCATCAGTTGAAATGCACTAAGTAATTAAAACTGCAGGTTTATTCTGTTCTAATTCATTGGGTTTGGGTTTGTTAATACAATGAGGAGTTGGGCTTCATCATCAAAACTGGCTACTGTAATAAGGTTTCTTGAACACTTGTGATCTTGTAGTGATTTCATCTGGAATCATTGTTTTTTCTTTCTCTATATTTCAGAGATAGTGGAATACCTATAAATCTATATGCAACATGAGATGAAGAGAAATAGCTAAACACATTGACAAGTTTTTAAAGCCTAGCAGGCATGAAAGCTGCAGTGACCTTTTTGATGCATTGCTTCAGATCGTTCTGATATTTTCTTAGCTATCCTTAGGTCCTATTTTTTTTTGTTTCAACAGTAGAAGAACATTTGTAAAATAATAATAAATATAAGTATGTTCCTCTGGTTTAGCTTAGTAATAAGATTTTTTTATTTGTTTTTTTTTTCATCTCTTACAGCTTGACAAAGATGACATGGTATATATGGAGGCATATGATAAATTACTGGAATCTTGGCTTACTTTGGTCCAAGATGACAAACATTTCCATAAAGGTTTCTTTACCCAACATGCTGTTCAAGTCTTTAATTCCTACATTCAGTGCCATCTAGCTGCTCCTGATGGCACAAGGAATTTGGTAAGCCTTCATTGTAGTAGTTTCGGATGGTAACATACAGTAACTGGTCCACAAATTTTGGTGTCTCTATATTACATAGCTCAAGGCAGCTAGTGTAGAATTGCCATTTATGACTTTGGAAATCCTCTCATTTCATTTTATTTGGAAATGCAAAAAAAAATTGCTGAACTTAGTACTCAGTTCTGATTTCCCAGTCCATTTCTCATTCTGGAGGGAAACTAAAGGAATGTAAAGTTGGAAATCACTTCAAAAAAAAGAAAAGTAAACCTGTAACTCACATCAATGCATATCTTGTTCTTTCCACGGATACAGTGACTAAACTTTTGACCTTCCTTCTGGATTAGAATTTGAGTTAAAATTCTCAGTGAAATTGGGGACCTTTTTTATGATTGTTGCCTCCCATGCAGTATCTTCAAAATATAACTGACATGCATAAATATCTGAAAAAATGTAGACTGACTGTACTCAAAGTGGACGAAACTTGGAATATCATGTGGTCTTTTTGGATAAAATAAATTCCCAGTTGAGTTTTTGAACAGTTGACTGTCTAGAGAAAATGTACAGGTACATCAAGTATCTCTTGAACTATTGAAAAAGAAAGATGATTTGTCTATTTGCCAGAAATCTGGATCTTACTAAAATAGATTCTTATACAGACAGTTGGATGTAGATGTTGGAATTGGATGTTGAGTTAGTTATTGCAGAGATTAAATTCAATAACTGTATAAAATCTCTCTTTAATTTGATGCTGTGCAAAGATCTCAGAGATACCTCATTCTGAAAAGCACTATGTAAAACATAATTCTACTATCTCAATATGTAACAGATGGTAATAACAGTGCCAAAACTGAAAGAAATATTTCACAAGAGAGCTTTGAATTCATATCAGGCGGTCTTGACATAACTTGTATACACAGGTTGATTCATGTCATTCTGTGAGATAAGTCATTTATCCCAAGGGTAACCTTTAAAAGCCACAGCTGGCATTTTAGAATGCTTCTTGTTCTATATCAAAGCAGTAACAGGAACTTTCAGTCTCTGCTTTGAGAACAGAGGCTTACCCTTCAATAAACAGCTGCAACTTTGAAGTTGCCAAAAGAGAAGGATTTGCTGGGTTACATAAAGAAAAGATGAGTTAAAAGCACTTTGCATAAGGAATTGTGTGTGGATTCAGTTTTCCAGGGCCTCTATAGAAACAAAGCAGACTGATGGCTTTCTCCGCCTCCTGTATTTTACTTTGTTACTTGCATAAATTTTGTTATTAATAGATAAGAAAGAAACACTTAATATTTATACTTGGTTTCTGCATATCATGGTTCATCTCTCCAAGGAATAAGATCTGATTATAATTTAAATAGTTTTAGAATGCAAGCAAGAGAAGCTTTGAGAAATTGAACAGTGCAATTTCTGCATCAGCAAGAAATAAAACCGAGATCGTCAAGATTATTAGTTTGCTGTTTTCTGAGTTTATAGCATTTACTTTTAATGTACTTTTTTAAATGTAGTAGTACTTTTTAGTACTACTATTTCCCCTCAAACAATAGGTTAAGGGAAACCTTTAATGCAGGATCTAACATTCATATCATCATGAAAAATACTGCCTATTACATGATTTATGTAAGATCTCAGACAACTGAGAACTACTGAAATGTTAGCAAATGAACTGAATGTGGTGGCATTTTGGTAATGAGTTTGTGAAATGCTGATTTTAAAACAATATGAACCCATATTGTTGGCTCTGTTTAACTCCTCTTTGTCTAATTTAGTACAAGTCTGTTTTTCTTAAATGCAAATTATCATGCAAGAAAAAGCCAAAATAATGCAGAAAATTGTGATAATGAATTTAACAAGTATGACTCTAACTGGTTGCTTCTAATTTTGTTGAAATAACCAAAGACTGCCAATGGTGTGGCCTCTCGGGAAGAAGAAGAAATAAGTGAGCTGCAGGAAGATGACAGAGACCAGTTCTGTGACCAGTTGGCCAGCGTAGGCATGCTGGGGAGGATTGCTGCAGAGCACTGCATACCTCTTCTCACAAGGTAAGTACAAAAAAAATAGTCATGAATGCAAATCAATAAAGCAGTTACATAGGAAAAGCCTAGTTTTGCCAAAACATTTTAAAACCAGTGAAGCTACTTTGTTATTTGTTCACAGTTTGTTAGAAGACCGAGTGACAAGGCTCCATGGGCAGTTGCAAAGACATCAGCAGCAGTTACTTGCCTCACCAGCATCAGGTTCAATTGACAATAAAGTGCTTGACGACCTGTATGAGGATATTCATTGGCTTATTTTAGTCACAGGTTAGTAAACAGCTTTAAATAGTACTTATTCTGGTATTTTTGTTGCAGCTGGAGCACCTCAGGAAAAAAGAAAATCCCTGTGTATCAACTACTCTTGACTGACTATACATTTTATCCCTTACAATGATTTAGTCTTATATATATAGTCTTATAAGAACTTACAAAGTCCTTGTCTTACTGTCATCTGCCTTGAATAACAGGAATATTATCTCTAATGATTACCTCATGTAAAGATTCCATCAATATCCATTGGAAATTCCTGCAACTAGTTTTGTTATAGATTTTTTGAGTTGTGTTATCAGTCAACCTAGTCCAGACATAAGTCTGTTCATGTATCAGTGGCTGGGTGCATATGACTTTATAAAGGAACCAACATGAGATCAGAGTAATGCTGATAGAGAATCATGTTAAGTTCTAGACTTTCTCAGTGCTGATGATCCATGACCTGCTATTTTGTTACATTTTGGGGAATTTAGAGCCTTTTGGGTTTGATTTTTAGATGGTGAATATTTTACTTAAGTTTGCAAACATAGCAACAACTAAGTCTGTACTTTGCTTGGAGAAGTGTATAACGTATGAAATATTTGGGGGACCTTTTTGAAGATCTGTTTTTTTAGTTGCTCTCAGAAGTTGACATGGTTGTGTTTATTATATTTTTGTAACATTGAGATGGAGTTTGTAGCTCACAGATGGTTATGAGGTCAGATATCAAAAACTACAACTAAAGCTGGAATTAATATTATCTAGATACCAGAGTATTGTATGAAAACCCATGCTTCAACTGATCTGCTGTTGCTAGGCAAGGAAAACTGTGTTACAACACATGTACTTGAGGTCTGAAAGACTGACAGATTTGAGATTTTAGCAAAACAGAAGTCGCAAATGATATGGACTCAGCACAGAAGGCTTTTTTACCACATAGCAGAGGAAGAAAAAAATGACAACAAAATGTTGTTTTGTCCTTCCCCCAAGTAGATGAATTGAGTGTAGCACTTCTACATGAAGCAAAACTTGTCTTTTTTTTTTTTAATTGGTTTTTACATTGGTGGTTTCTTTTTCCAGTCTTGATTTCTTGTCACTGTAGGTTTTTTCCTACTGAATGGCTTTAAGGATTCTAATTAACTTTTATGCATTTAAGCAGTGTTAGGGTCTGTACAAACATTTGATTCTGGTGGGATATCTGCAGTTAAGCCTATGGATTCTTTAATCAGAAAGCCACAAGTTAACCTAGGGTAGAAAGTTGTGATCACTCTTTCTTTTTTAATGTAAGGCTACCTCTTGGCTAATGATACTCAGGGAGAGACTCCGCTAATACCTCCAGAAGTAATGGAATATTCCATTAAACATTCAGCTGAGGTTGACATCAATACAACACTTCAGATTCTGGGATCTCCGGGAGAAAAGGCCTCTTCCATCCCAGGGTACAACAGAACTGATTCTGTAATTAGGTAAGGGTGCATCTTGTACTGTTAAGTGTATTAAATGTTTTTTCAGAGAAGAAAAAAACTTTAGAATGTGAGTAGACTTCTGTGAATGTGAAAAGTAAGCAGTATGTAAATACTGGATATTGATAAATGAAAGATTGACCTGATAGTCTTTATAGACGTCATAAGCCAAAGTCTGGGGAATATACAGAAATGTTTTTTGTATTTCTACTGAAGACCCATCTTTGATCTATTTTTTACAGAAAATCCTTAAAACTACTGAAGTAAAAAAAGTTGGCAGATCAAAATCTTTAGATAATGTATACTCTAAAATTCATTCAGCACATATACATCTTAAGGAAATGCTTTCCAGAACATCAGTGAGCTTCTCTACTTGGAATATGGGTTACTGCCCAAGCTTGGCAGTAGCAGAAATATTGATCCTCACAGCTTGAGGAATTGTTGTCAATTATTTACAGACATCACTGTCAGCCTATAAAAGAAACAGGAGAGAGTTCCCTTCTCTTTTTGCAAGAAGGCTGATGCTCACAAAGGAGTCAAGTTTGAATCCTCACACTTCAGAAGATTGCATTCCACTCTTAGCTGACATGGAAGAGTCTTCACCTAAGATTAGTTGTTGCATTCTTTAAATATTTTCTTCTGGGAAGAAGGTAGAAAAAGTGTACCTTAATTAGCAATGATGTATGTTCCTAGTGTTTAGAATGTTAAATACTGCTCACTTATACTATTGGCCACTTCAAGAACTTGCCATCAAACAGGATTACTTTATGCATTGTCTCAGTGGTGGGAATAAAACCAGATGAAAATAAGGAGAGAGTTGAGGCCCTTGAAATGTCTTCAAGAAATAAGCCACTGTCAGCTCCTAAATTTCTTATGCACAATCACATTCTTATGAAATTCAATTGATGTACTTCAAGAGTAGCATTTAATGCAGTTTTATGGAGGGATTGTATTCATGTGATCACCTTGTGATTTACTGTTTCAGCCTATTGCCCAGCAGTAATTAACAAGACAAAAATAACTGGTCATTTCTGTATTTGTTTTTTGGTATGTTTCACAGTGCAAACACTGCACAATTAGAACACTTTATTAAACTTAGTGGTGCAAGAAACTTTTTGGAGGATATTTGCTCTATTTTCTCTCTCTCTTACTGTGCATTTCAAAAACAAAAAATTCAGGTGCTTTTTACTTGATTGGAGCTGAAATGTTTTGTATTATCCTGATCCTTCTGTAATTTTTTGTGAAAAATGAAAGTGGTTTTGGTAGTTGCATTGCCTCTCCCAAAACTGCTCTAGCATCCTCATTGTATTTTAAATCTGCAGGTTGTTATCTGCTATTTTAAGAGTGTCAGAAGTAGAATCTAGAGCAATAAGGGCAAATCTTACACACCTCCTGAGCCCCCAAATGGGCAAAGATATTGTATGGTTCCTCAAGCGCTGGGCAAAGACTTACCTCCTAGTAGACGAAAAGTTGTATGATCAGGTAAGGATATAACTTTTATGAAATTATTTGTGAATATTAGGCATAATATTATCCTGTGAATGTAGATGTCAGTGTAGCTATTTAAAAATGCAATGCTTAAGTATTTTTAACATTATATGGGTTGTGATTTATTTTGGAATTTGTTTGAAATTTTATATTTTCTCCTATTTGCTAATTAGAAATTTAAGTTTTTAGGGGACTCTTGTACATTTTGCTGTAAATGTATTTTGTTTTTGGGTAGCCATTTCCATATCAGAATAACATATCGCTCCTGGGCTGCAGGGTGAGTGAAACTCACTGACTGCAGTGATGTTATATATGATGTTATAAATTGTGACTGTCCATCAGATTTTACATTTCATCTCCCAATACAGTGATTGTTCTTGATCGTGATTGAGTTAGATACCTAACACCATTACAAGGTAGTATACATTAGCTAATGTCATGCTACTTTCTCTCCTCATTCTCATTGCATATATCATGATTTCAACACTGTGTTCTTTGTAAAGAGCAACTTCTTACCATGCTTGGACAGCACTAATCACAATTAGAACTTGATTGATCCTGATTTTGCTTATCAAACTAACTGTAGTCCAGCTAGCTCACAGAGGCCATCCATTCTGAGGAGGTCCTGTTGGCTCTAATTTTTGAGAAGTCTCCTCCTCCTCCCCTTTATTTGCACTACTGAAGCAACTAAGAATACTAACGCTTCAAGGGGCCTCTCCTTAACAATAATAGATATCACACAGACTTGTAAATATTTGGAGTCATATTATTCGTCTTATACATATAGCACAGCTAAGAATTCATAAAGGTACCAGTTCGGCAAGGATTTGAGATCATGTTAAAAGGAGATCCATGTGAAAAACAAAGTGTCTAGGAAATGCACGCATTTAGTTTGTGTTGACATGTGAAAGTGATTGAAACCTCTGTTTAAACCTTATGCTCAGTCACATATATTTCATGAGTTCTTAAAGGTAGAAGTGTTAGTGATGTGCTGACCTGAAGCCCCTGCACAATTACTACAAAGTCTTTGGATTTCACCCTTGAGAAACTTTCTTTAACAGTAGGAGAGCAGGCAATTTCAAGGAAGCATATTTTAATGTGCCAGGACCAGAGTGTGACATGTTTTCTAAAAGATGTGTAGATTGAAGGAACCATCTGCAGAAAGCAGATGCAGAAAAATTGATGTGGAAATTAATTTTTACAAGTTTCTATATAGATCAAGAACTAGTAATAATATTTACCACTGAATTTTGAGGAATTATGTCTTAAATTCATGGAAACACTTTTCGGAGGTGATTTTGGGATCTTTCTTTTAATTATTAAAGCTTTTGAACTTTCATTGGCCTTAAAAGCTAGACAAACTCAAATCTTTTTTGTAACAAGGTTGAAACTTTGTTTTAGATGTTGTGCTTAAAATTGCAAGATAAATTTGGCAAAGATTTTTCTATTACAGGTATTCTTTGCCTTTGTCTATGTAACATTTATGTAATTTAAGTAGGAAAGAAGTGACAGCCTGAAAAGTATTTGCTGACAATGATTGCCATACACTTTTGGATTCTGGCTTCTGTAAAACTCACTCATTTTAATGCTTTTCTTATAGATAAGTCTGCCATTTAGTACAGCATTTGGTGCTGATACAGAGGGTTCCCAGTGGATTGTGGGTTACCTTTTAGAAAAAGTGATCAGTAACCTGGCAGTGTGGAGTTCAGAGCAGGACCTTGCAAATGATACTGTACAACTGCTAGTAACATTAGTGGAAAGGAGAGAGCGGTAAGTTGCTATACCTCTGGAAGTCAAAAAGTTTCTTTTGCTTCCTTTATAGTTTTTTGGCCACAGTAATCCAGATATAGGGCACTTCATATTCATGTCTCTGTAAGTCAAATTACTTTAATAACATACTATAACTGCAAAAAACACCACAAACTTGTCTGAGAAGCAGAGGAGTGAGACCTGTATTTGACAAAACATCACCTAATTTTTATTGCTGTTTAGAAGTGCACTCTCCTTCCCTACTTTTGTGTCTCACTCTTAAACAGTGAGAAAGGAAAACTCTACTGGTCTCCACTCTTATTGCAAGGATTTTTGTGTTGCTGTTAATTCTTGTTAATTAGGAGTTCAGAGACTGGCTAAGCCAGTATAAAATATGTTTTGTTAATCTAAATTTTTTTTTTTAAATATAGAATTTTGTGGATATAGTCAAATTTCAGTAAGTTTTCTTTGATATTGTAAACTGTGAAGCAAGAAATTGTTGAATGCTTTATTTATGTCAATTGACATGCAATTATGCATGGAATCATACATTCACAGTCTACTGAAAGACTGTTCTGAAGTATGAGGATTTTAAATGTTTGAGGATTTTTCTTTTAAAAAAATTAAACCCCACAGGAACTAGTTTTGGAATAAATTGCTTATTTTATTATGACATAATGAGACTAAGCTTTTAATCCATGCAATATGTACATTAACTCTTATGTGTATATGTGTGTAAAACTAAAGCACTTCCCTGCTTTTCTCCTGTATGAATTGATTTATTTTCAGAGTATATACTTTAGAACTCTGAGAGCTGAGGCATTAGTAAGATGAAAATCAAAAGGCAATTTAGCCTCAGAATAAAGGAATTTAAAAAAATATAGCAACAACAAACTTCTGGCAACTGCTAGAAACCTGATGTGCTCTTTTCATACAATTTTGTGAAGTCTTTAATGAATTTTTTTTTTTCCCTCTTTTAGGGCAAACTTAGTTATCCAGTGTGAAAACTGGTGGAATTTAGCTAAACAGTTTGCAAGGCGAAGCCCTCCTCTTCACTATTTGTCTAGTTCTGTTCAGAGAACACTAATGAAAGCTTTAGTTCTAGGAGGTTTTGCTCATATGGATACAGAAACAAAGCAACAATACTGGACAGAGGTAAGCTATTTTGATACTTCTCTTACCTCCATATAAGCAAGCAGTGCAACAAGTTAGTTTAGGGAATTTTATAGTGATACAAAATCAATTTGTTTAACATATTTTGATATTCAATACTGATGATTTTTTTAAATTATTCTCTCTTTGATAGTCAGTACTTGTATCTGTTGTATCTAAATTGTGTCTAAAACATCTTAACCCAAAGAGAAACCGCTAATAATTAATTGAAGGATTTGTGAAGCAGATAGTAGAGCAATATGTTTGAAAGAGACTATTATGGAAGATGAAAAATTTCCTTTGCACTGGGACATTTCTTCCTTTCTTTTTAATTTTATGGTGTTGTGACTTATTCTGTTATCACTTAGTGATAATGATAGTAAGTAAAAAGCTGATGTGGATTATAATGAAGAGTCTTGACCAGCTCTTTGTGCCCTGGCACCATTAAAGCTCAGATATTTGATACCAGAAAGGCTGATGCTAGAAAGCAGCTGAAATGGCATAAGGAAGCACCATGTGACTTTGTAAAGCATTGACCTTCTGATAAAAACATGTTTTTATTGGCAGAGCTACAAAATTAGTGATTTAAGGTAAAACTGTAATGCAGTAGAAGTAATTGGGGGAAAAATCAACTATTTTTGTGGAAGCTTTTAAATTCAAAATACAGACAGTGACAAAAGTGGTTTTGCTATTGAGAATCATAATGTGGCAAAGATAACTCTGAGCATTAATCTTAATGGTTTCATTAAGAAGCTGTAATGATTTTTTGCCCTAATGCTGAATTTGAAGGGAATCAAATGCTTTGAGCCAGAGGAAGTAATTTTTATTTGTTTAAATACTACAAAATTACCTAAAATATTTATAGAGGTGCTCATTTTGACACCTGCCTGCAGGCCATGATGGACAATGGGAAGCACTACTCGCTACCACTTCTACTTGCATTAATGTGACAGATAATGACATAACTGAGCCATTAGAAATTGGAAGTGATTGATGTACTGCCATGCCAAAAGCAATGAGTTTACTAAGTGATTTAAACCTCACATCTTATATAATAGTATGCTTATCTTAATGTGACTTTTCTGAAAACATTCAAGGTTCTTCAGCCACTTCAGCAGCGATTTTTGAATGTGATAAACCAAGAAAACTTTCAGCAGATCTGCCAGGAGGAGGAAGTGAAGCAGGAAATCACCGCTACATTAGAAGCACTCTGTGGCATTGCTGAGGCTACCCAGATTGATAACGTATCAATTCTCTTCAATTTCCTAATGGACTTCCTTAATAATTGCATTGGATTAATGGAAGTATACAAAAACACACCAGAGACTGTTAATCTCATAATAGAAGTCTTTGTTGAAGTTGCACATAAACAAATTTGCTATCTTGGAGAGGTAAATACAACCAGAAGGGGAAGGAGGGGGCAGAGTGTGTGTGCACATGCTTGTAAATGTATATACATATTTGTAAATATATCTACAGTGCTATTCTTTAAACAAAATTTAAGGTAATGATTTTTATAGAGAGAAAGAAAGACTATATGGACACGTGTTAAGGACTTCCTTTGTTTTAAAACATACACTTAAGAAGACTAAAACAGGACATTTAGACTGTTCTTTTTTTACCCATAAATTTAACCACAGTTCATCACTAGTCTAACTCTATGGATGGGTAGCAAAAGAGGACAGACTGTGTTGTGTACTTTTTTTATAACAATATCAAACTTCTCTGAAGTCTAGTCTAGGAGAATTGCAGCAGTGTTCTATGTGGCAAATACTACCATAGAAACCATGCCTTAGTCCTAGGCAAGGCATTAATAGATCCCAAGAAGTTCACAGTTAAGATTTTGAGCTTGTGTAGTGCACTTGCATCTTTGCACCGTTGGCTGATTTTGTTTTTGCATCTGGAAGAGTTCCTGCCTATTCCATACTGAATATGCACAGTGTATTGTGGATCCAAACTTCTGTAAGTGTGTCCCAGGAGATTTTTTGTTGGTAATCTAGTTTGTGAGATTAGTGAGATATGTCAGTCTGTCCCAAACTGCTCTTGTCTGGATTTTTGTTAAGACTGAGGAATCCAGAAAATTAATGTTTTGCTCTTTCAATCAGTATCACATCAATATATGGCTATAAGTGTTTTTATTGTCTAAGGTGGCTGTTTCCTTGATGATTTTGTATACAGTTTGGTACAAAAGCAATCATACACTGAAATGAAAATCCTGAAGTATTGTCTACCAAGTAATGCCATCTTAAAACCAAGTGTTTTGCTTTTAGCATATGGAAGTCTTCTTATTATGTAACATTGTTTTATAGGCCAAAGCCATGAACCTGTATGAGGCCTGCCTAACCCTGCTTCAGGTATATTCCAAGAATAATCTAGGTCGACAACGGATAGATGTTACAGCAGAAGAAGACCAGTACCAGGATCTCCTTCTTATTATGGAGCTTCTTACTAATCTTCTATCAAAAGAATTTATAGATTTCAGTGATACAGGTATTAAGGAATTGGTAATTGATGAACCACATGTTGTTTTCTAAACTGTAAGAACTATTTTGGGGCTTGTGTTCAGTCCATGTAAAGTAAAAGCTGAAGTTCAGGCTAGACTAGGTCAGGATATGGAAATTACTATTTTAAGCAGCAAATAAGAACTTTCCACAATATTCTAACATCTGAAATTATTATTGCTGTCATAAAATAAATTATGGATGTATGAAACAGCTTGGAATCTGAATGTTGCAAGTCTGAATATGTTTTACCAAAAATTTTATAACAAAAAGCACATAGAGAAGTTGGAGTAGTGCAAGAGAGCAGATGGGTGGTCTTAGTACAGGATTCAACTTTTGTGAAATGTTGAGTCATTAAAATTCCATCATGTGAGGGTCTTCTGTATTCCTCTTTCACAGAATATGCCTTATGGTTTGTAGGTGTAGTTAAGGGTTCCTTCTTGTATCCCAGCGTGTTACTTTCTCTACATGTATTTGCCATTTAAAATTGCAGTTGTTGCAAATTTGCATGGTTCATATCTCGCCATGTTCTATACACTTTGCACAGATAACAACCCAGGCAGATTCAGTTTGAAACGAGCATGTTTTGCTATCCATTGCCTTTCTGAGGTACATATTGAAAGAGAGAATCTTGTACTCTGAAATGCAGGACAGCATTTGTTTTTTCATCACGCATGCACAACACAAGTACAGAAGCAGATTTAGACTTTGTCCATTGAATGGACAACCCAGTGCTTTGTAAAGCTTTTGCTTTGAGATCTGGATGTTAGTTGTGTGGAAAACACTTTACCATGAAACAAAGTAATGTGAATAAAACCTAGATACAATGCCCAGAGATCAAATCTATTGTGAATTTTCTACATACTGCTGTTGATTCAACGCAGGAATTATAAAAGTAAGGTCATTGCCAGTTGATGGGAAATGTAGGCCTTGACCTATAATGGAGAAAACTTGACAACATCCAATCTACAGAACTTTTTCTGTTAGCTCTCCCATTTTTTTCCTCCTTCTGTTCATAAAAGATATTGAAGCATATGTAAATATATAATATATATTAAAAGTATAAAAATGCAGTAGTATTTTACTCACTATGTGTTTATGTGTGCAGTCATGAAGCAGCTATTACTGGAAACATTCAGTATTCTGTAATGAAGGGAGCCCTCAGTATCTGAAGTGTTCTGGTTTAGCATGCCATCTGGTACAAGAGATTATGAAATGCTTAGTCCTAATGAATATAAATATAGAGTGATGTGACAGCCTCCACTCACTAAGTTTCTATTTTAGTACAGTGCCTCACAGTTTTGTTTGGAGAGAGGGGGATAGTCCTGTTTTTAAAAATGTCTATATTATAAAGAAATGGGACTGTTCTTTCAATATGTTTAATCTTCCTTTTATACAAAATATTTTTTTTTATTTCCTGCAGATGAAGTATTTAGAGGACATGAGCCTGGGCAAGTTACAAATAGATCTGTATCAGCAGCAGATGTTGTCTTATATGGGGTTAATCTAGTTCTGCCTCTAATGTCACAAGATCTGCTGAAGGTAAGTATATTTTTTACACAGAGCTGCTAGAATATGAAAGCTTTATAGTAATGAATTCCCAGAATTCATTCCTCTATGCATTCCACCTCCATAAAGTGAATTTTCTAGACTTCATAAATGTAAATAATTGTTCCATAGTTCTAAATACTCTTTGAAAAGAAATACTGTAAACTGAGAAAATGTTTTATCTGAAGATCCTAAACAAAATTCTTCTTGTAAAAGCATGTCTGTGCCAATCAACAGCCAAACCTGAAATGTGGCTCATGGAGTCCTTTCTCTGATAGTGTCAGAAATGTGACAAGAAACATAGTGATATGAGTTAAAAGTAATTATTTATTTCCACAATACAGATGGTTGTTGATCATAGGCATCAGCAGCTTGTGAGTAGAACAGTAACATATGAAACAATGGGGTGGCAGCATTTCCTTGCTGCAGTGTTCATGTTTTACATCGAAGCAGGGGAGCGCTTCAGGAGGGTGTCTCGGCTGTCCCCTCTCCACATGCCTTCTCATCCAGTAGCGCCCACTGAGCGCGAGGGCCACGTCCACTTTAGATCAAACCAAGGCCAGGGATCTACCCTGGGAGCCCCTCGCTTGTGCTACAAATGCTCGCGAGGCTTTTACCCCACAGGACTAGATTTGTCTGTGTCTGAAATAAAACTCCTGTAATTTGTGTAGAGCAGATACCAGACTGCCACCATCTACTGTTTATCTTTAGGAATCTTCTTTTACTGTACTACAGTGTTTGTATTTATATAAAGTTGTAGCCATTCTAATGACTCAAGTTTCCTATTAAAATTCTTTTCTTCAGTGCAAATCATCAGTCTTCTCTCTTTGTGTAGTTGAAAATTATGCCAAAATAGTTACGTGATTGAATCTAAAAATACCATTTTTTTCTTTTGACAGTTTCCATCCCTGTGTAATCAATATTACAAATTAATAACTTTCATATGTGAGATATTCCCTGAGAAAATTCCACAACTTCCAGAGGACCTCTTTAAAAGCCTAATGTACTCACTGGAGTTAGGGATGTCATCGTATCCTTTAAAGCGTTTGGGAATGCTTTTTAAAAATTTAAGTTACTTTTATAAGGACCTGTTAAAAATATTTTGTTTCTTATTTTTCTATCAGTATCTGCATGTATAATTATATATTGGTAATTGACTCTTACTCTGCTCTCTGGGGATTGAGAGTTTCACTGTAGTGTCCATTGAGATTCCAGCATCAGCTGAATTGCCTCTGACTTGTGCGGCTTGGGTGCAGCCTTTAAGTAGCTTAGCATGTAAGTTTTTTCTGGCAGCCATTCCTGCCTCCTCCGTTACTTCATTTCAGAGTGTGTAACTTCATAAGCCTTCAGCTGGTATCCCAAAGCCATTCCTGAATTAGTCTCTCAGCTGGTAATACAAAACATTGCTGCTGTTCTACTGGGCTGGCTCCAGAGCATTTCCTGTCAGGGTGCCAATGGGCTCTCCCTCTCATAATGGGAGTACCATTTTCACTAATCTGTGGCACGTGTCAGAAACAGATGAGCTTGACCATAAGGGACTCTTTCTGAAAATGTTATGTCAGAGAGGGTTATGTTACCGCAGGGCATGTAGCTAATAAAAGAAGGTAATGAAGTTGGAATCATTTTTCCCTCCTTTTTTCTATATTTTTTTTTTATTATTATTATTTTTTTAGATTAGAAACTTTGTAGTGAAAAGAAACCTTGAAACATACAAGCATTTCAGATATTTTCTAGTGTCACAGCTGGGTAGTTTGACCACAATTTAATCGAAATTTGACTTCAATTCTTTAATACCCATTATCAGAATGAGTTCAGAGGTTTGCCAGCTCTGTCTGGAGGCTGTAACACCGTTAGCAGAGCAGTGTGCAAAAGCACAAGAAACAGATTCAACGCTTTTTCTAGCAACAAGGCACTTTCTTAAGGTAAGGCATCTATGTTTCTTGTTACTTTGTTTTTTTTTGCATAAAGGTAGCATCCTGAGGCCAAACAGTGATCATATCCAGATTAATCAGGACAATGTATACAGTAAGAAACAGCCTGTTGCCTACAAAAAAAAAAAGTGGCAGCTTAAGAAGAAAGAGGGCGTGAACAACTGAAGATACCAGACTAGACTACAAAAGAGGATGGAGGTGTAGAGGGAACCCATCTATTATTGCCAGTAAACAAAAGACCTGAGCCTCTCAGAATGCAATTTTTATATCCATGCTTTGCACTCAAGATTGACAGCTTTAGTAGTTACTGGTGGAGCTGTGAACAGAAGGCTTCCAGAATTCTGTGAACTGGAAGCTGGGTAGAGTATTAAAATAAAAGGCATGAAAAAGAGCATAGCTGGGAACTAGAAAGGAAATGCTGTCATTTATTCAGTGTATCTAATGAATTACATGTTTTCTTAATTCAGTATCACATTCAGTACTTTACTTTTAGGACCATCCACTTTAATGAATTTTGGAGTAACCTGCTAGCAAGCAGGTTTTCCTGCTAACTGGCAACAAAGTAACTGTGAAATCTGTGTGCTTGTCTTCTGATTTTGTATAGGTTTCAGTTTTACTTCAGACATCTTATCAAACTGACTGGGATTTCTGAGGATTGCTCATTAAATGCTTTTATCAGACAAGCTGAGAGAATTAAAACTTGCATAATGTTGTCTTTATGTATCTTCCAAGTTAGCATAGTTTCATTCCTTATTTCTGAGTTTCCAGTTAAAATTATAATAATCCTCTTTATTAATCTGTTCCCTGTTTAACTTTCTGTGAGCTATAGGAGTCTCCAAAACTTGAGGAAAAGTTCTGTATTTTATTCTGGAAGAACAAAGGCTTTTTTCATTATTTCTCTGGTATATGTGCAGCTTTTGGAGAAAAATACAAGTGATGTCATGTTTCTCTGAAGAACAGTTGATATAAATCAACAACAGGTTCCAGTGCTTTGAAATGTGAATTTATGCTGTTAAGCCAAGACTTGGCTTCTAAAGTGCTGGTGCCTAAATCCAAAAATAAAAAATGGGGGCAATAAAGCAAACAGCAACCTGGATGTTTGTACTAAATGTTCATTGTTATTATCAGAAGTGAAGATGAGCTTCAGCAGCAAATGTTGATAAAGTGGAAAGCTAAGTTTACATTTACACAAATACTTCTGTTTTGCGATTTCAGATGGTTTTTGATATGCTGGTACTTCAGAAGCACAATACAGAAATGACAACTGCAGCAGGTGAAGCATTCTACACGTTAGTGTGTTTGCATCAGGTATGGCATTCAGACACACCCTGAAAAGAAGTCATTTGTTAAAGGAGAGTGGTTATTTCTTGTGCACCTGATAAATCGTGGAATCATTTGAGTTGAAAGGGGACATCCTCAGGAGGTCTGCCTGTTTCAGCTGCAGGTCTTTGTATTTGTTGTTGCTGAGTTTCATGACTCTCCTGTCAGTTCACTGCTCCAGCCTGAGTGCCTCTAAATGTCAGTCCTGCCTTCGAATGCACCTTCTGCACTCCCTAGTTTGGTTTCATCCCCAGACTTGAGAAGAGTGTATTTTCCCTCCTCCTCCAGGTCACTGATTAAAATGTTTAACAGGACATGGTCCAGATGAGAGCTTTCAGTGCCACTTGCAACCAGCTTCCAGGTGGAACATGAACCATTAGCCTCAATCCTTTATAGGCTGATGGTACAGATGTGTTTTTACACATGTAGTGGTTCACCCATTTAGACAATAAAATCCTAGCTTGGTTGCAAGGGTGCAGTACACAGCTGCTAAAGACCTGTTTACCTTAGACATCCACTGCACTTGTCTTAGCCATAGATGTAAGTAATTTTATCTAAGATGGCAGGTTGGTAAAGCATGATTTACCCTGGGTAAATCCACACTGCCTGTTCTAAGAATCACAGAATATGCTGAGTTGGAAGGGGCCCATGAGGATCGAGTCCAACTCCTTCCCCTGCACAGGACCATCTCTAAGAATCGCATCATATGCCTGTGTGCATTGTCCAAACACTTCTTGAACTCAGGCTTGATGCTGTGACCACTCCCTGGAGAGCCTGTTCCAGTGCAACCACCCTCTGGGTGAAAAACCTTTTCTAATACCCAATGTAAACTTCCTCTGACACAACTTCAGGCCATTGCCTTGGGTCCTTTGACTTTCACATCCCCAGAAATAACTTCCAGGAGTACTTGCTTCATGATTTTCTTAGTCATTTGAAGATGATAGAGAACAGCCAGTAATGAATGACATGAGCCAGCTTAGTGAACCCTTGGATAGATTCTCTTGGGTCTTATGAGCTTACATGCATCAAGATTTCTCAAGAGATCCCTTGGTTGATCCTCTTTACTATGCACAGGAGGACCTTGGACACTCCCTCTCTAGTCACAAAGGTCTGGAAAAACCTGTCAGTGAAGACCAAGACAAAAGAAAGCATTGATTATTTCAGCCTTACCTCTTTTCTACTATCATTAAATCATCTATTCAGCAATAGAACCCATATTTTCCCTGTTCCTTCTTTTACTCTTAAAGTACTGGTAGAAGCTGCCTTTGTTATCTTTGATATCTTTTGCTAAATTCAGCTTTAGCTGAACTTCATTTTTCTGTCATTGTTCTTGTCCACATGATTTTTGTGCATTCCTTCTTTCTAGGTCATCTTGCTTCTATTTCCTGCATGTGTTGCCCTTGTGCTGGAGTTCAGTCATTAAGTCCCTGCTTAGTTGAATCAGTGTCCTTACTGTTTTCCTTTGTAGGTGGACAGACCATTGTGCTTGGAAGAGATTGTCCTTAGGACCTGTCAGCTCTCTTGAGCTGTTTTTGTCTTCAGAGTTCACTCCCACAGGATCCCACCCACCAGTCTTGAAGACGGTGACATCTGCTCTCATGATGTCCAGGTTCTGTACTTGGCTGCCCTATTTCCTCGCTTTCCTGGGCATCCTTAACTCCACTATTTAATGATAACTGAAAGGCTGGCATTAATTACAACATCTATGACCAGCTCTTACTAGCTGTGAATAGCAGATGCAAGGTCACACCCCTGGGTAGCCCATCTGGTATGTGAGCAAATGTCAGGGAGATAATCTCTTGTAAGTCTGATCTGGAAACTTCCTCAAGTTGCTTTAAGATGACTAAAAGCCCTGTTCTGGGGATTTGTAACAAGATCTCACCCCAAAAGATGTCATCTTTACTACTTCTCCTCTGATCATGATTCCTAACCACTCAACTAGATTGCTGCCCAGTCTGTAGAAAACCATATTTCATTTGAGCTGCCTTTTCACAGAAGTGTCAATCTTTTGTCATCTTCTGCCCTGAAGAGCTCTAACAAGCTTCCGCCTGTCACTTGGAACACTCCAGCCATGCCACCTGTCCCACCACATACCAGTGCCTGCAGTAAAGTTGCAGCTCTGAACCTGCACTTGAAGCTCTAGCTCCTGTTTCCAAAGCTGAACACACTTTTACGCAGGCATTTCAGGTTGGCCTCCTTTCAGCCTATTTCATCCTTTCTGAGGATCACTTTTAAACTCATGACATGTCTTTGTGTTCTTAATGCTCTCAGGCTCTGTCTCTTATCTACAAGTTGTTACCATCATCCCTCAACAAACCCTTTAAAGCCCTTCCTGCTGGGTTGGCCTTTGGCAAAGACATCACTAAGCCACTTTGTGCATGCATCCTCTCTCTTCCTAGCAGCACTTTTTCCCTCAAAGAGGGACTCGTGAACATGTAAGAGAAAAGCACCCTGTGATACCACCCACAGGTGGCAAATTCTTGTTGTGTCTGCCCTCACCCAACCCCTTATGGGTAGAATGGGGGGAATTGCCATTCTGACTCCTGTGTCCTTCACCTGTGCTCCCAGAGCTCAGTCCCTTTAGACTTGCTTCAGGTGTCTGCCCCTTGGCAGTGTCCTTCTAGTCATGTTTGATATGTTTCTTTGTCTTTTGTTTCTGTCTAAATAAGCATGAGAATATGTAGGATACTCTTAGAAAGGAATCTAAGCTCTCTGTCCCAGGGAAGGAACCCTAGAAAATGGAGAACCTGTGGGAAGAGATAGTTGGTATGGAACATGGGACAGGCATCAAGAAAAAACAGTCCAGTTTGCAGGAGTAAGCCTATGCTAAGGAAGAGCCAGAAGGCCCTTTGCCTTAAAATTGTAATCTTATTCTGCACTGCAAAGCATTGTATCTTGCTTTGAAGACTTCTTTACCTTAAAAAATACCCAGCCTGGATGAAGGATTTTATCTGATTTAGCGGTAGGTGAAAGGCTGTGAGGAAAGGTGAAGAGGTACTGATGGTTTTCTGTCACAGCCTTTATTCTGGATCTCATCCTGATGAGAGAAGTTGTATATATTGTATCTCTCT